AAACTGTCGAGGCAAGGAGCTCATGGCCCTTTGCCCCCTCCTTCTCCAGCCGCTCACGAGCACCCTTCAAGAGAGCTTTGCGGGTTAGGATTCCACGTCGGTATTGTCCAAGATACTCCTGAATCGATTCCTCACCCTCGACCGTGGGGTACTCGGCCAAGCGCTTCTTGGAACCTGGCTGTGGCTTGGACTGGTCTGTGGAGGTCTCCCCATCCAGTTCCTCCATGATGTCGCCGAGCTCAAAGTCACTGGACAACAGGCCCATTTGCGCCATCTCCTGCTGCAACTCTTGCAGCTTCTCTTCTGCGCTTTCAACATCATCCCGCACGAGAACGAGGAACTTGCGGATGTTGGGGTCATACAAGTCTTTCCTAGGATGAGATGCAACTGCATTTACTGCAAAACACAGACACATTCACAAGCTAGTGCAAGGACGATCGTGTCAGATCACTTCTCACCATGGCACTTTGTGAGCTTCTTCTTCTCACAGTGCTTGATGGCGCCCTGAATCCTCGACCTTATTATCTGCTCTCATGTGAGATTTCGTGGTGGTTACTTAAATAGTTATCACGAGCAGTATTGTATCCCAGACACTCCTCCCATTCGAGAGGCGGCTTCCGCATCTCTGCTTCGGTTTTCCAACTGTAGCCCTGGAGATTCTTTCTCCACTTCACTGTCTTGGTCCGGAAGGTGATGAGGCAGTTCAGCTTGGCCTGTTATGATAGGGATAGCAAGGCACCCTGAACAATTCCGGTAAGGAGCCTACATAAACACCATTAACACAAATAGCACATTTGATTGTCTTATGTGGGGGCTCTGGCTCCCTCGGCTACCACCATGTACATACTGCCCGGCTCTATCCTCAAGACCTGCATGTCCCACAGAATCCACGGACCCTGGAGCAACGGGTTAGATTCATTCTAGAGTTCTAGAGTGGCCCAAGAACCTTCTATCACAAAGTCTGGCAGGCTGCCGCCTGCGCTGTTTCGCTGAAGCATTTGCAGGTACACAGGGTTTTAGACAGGGTTTAGAACAGCAAATTTGAGGGTTCGTTTCAGGGTTTTAGAAGAGCTTTCTGGGGATTGCAGGAGGGCTTATACATATCCTCTATAGGGGCTTAGGGTTTCTACTTCGTCTAGGCCGGGTTACAGTCGGGGTAAACCCACAAAACCCCTAACCGTAGGATACTGCAAATACCTATATATGTCACCACTGCTGAGGGCAGTCCCCGAAGGAACCGAAATCCTGAACTTCCTTAAATCCTGAGCCCATTATGCTCCACCCGGGCAGCCTTGTGAGTGCTGGGATCCCCCCCTTGGATATAGCATCGGCCAATGAAGTCGCGGAGGAGGTTCTGCCGGTTGAAGTCTCCTTGCATAGAGGGGTACCGCATTCAACACCATGCCCCAGTATCTCGATGGATTCTAGTGGGCTCATGTAGTATTTGTACAAGTTTCGGCTTCACAGTTCATGGGTTTGCAAAGCTTCTCCGGGTTCGTTAGGATCTTAGGGACTTGGGGGCTTATAGGGACTTATCGGCTATAGGGGCTTATAGGGGCATAGGGACCTGTAAGGGCTTATAACGGCTTAGGGACTTAGGAGGTTTAGGGGCGTCGGGGCTTTAAGGGCATCGAGGCTGGGATAGGGGCTTATAAGGGCTTTGGGCTTATAGGGGCTTTATAGGGGCTGATGGGTTCAAGGGCTTAGGAAGCCAGGTTGTAGATAGGCTTGTGGGTGCTGGCATGATCTTCGGACAAGGAGGGCTTTCTTCAGAACATGATTCTGCCTAAAGTCGAAGCTTATTGATTTCCGGTACAATATTAATATGGGCTCGGTGTATTATGTTATTCATTGGTTTGCAACAAACCGTGCTTGCAATTCGGATCGACCGGCTGATTTGCTTTAGGATGTATTATCTATATATATATATATATGTAATATATAATATATAATAAATAATATACAGTATATAATATAATATAATATATATATATATATACACAGATACATCTACATATACATCTACATATATCGTATTTATTGCCCGAGGAACTATAACGGGGCTATGGTCAATTGAGAATGGACGACAACACCCAGATGTTGGCCAAAGCTCAAATCCTCAATAGCCCCTTAGAAGCAGCGCTCGATGCTTTGCACACCCACACATTGGCCATAACCCAATCCCTAACCGCGTATAATGAGCACATGAAGCTATGCCAAACCAGCCCAGGATTGATTTGGGGTAGCCAGCAAGCCACCAAACCTATTACACGTGCTTCAAGACTAATCCTTCCAGGGTGGGAAGAACTTTGGTGTTTGTAAACAAAGAGGGATAGCCTTATAAGGTCAAGGAGAGCTAGAACCTGTATGTATGTATGTATATGTATGTATGTGTATGTATGTATGTGTATGCATGTATGTATGTATGTATGTATGTATGTATGTATGTACGTATGTATGTATGTATGTATGTATGTATGTATGTATACGTGTGTGTGTGTGCACGTACATGTCATGGCCCCTAATACCCCCCTCCCTCCCCCCCTCCCCCAACAAACACACACACACACACACACACCTTCACAACACAAGACTCCTGCATCCCACGCTTGGCGGATCTCTGGCATGCAATCCGGTGCCCGCGTGATTCGGTACAAAGCCCCCCATGCATTCGGATGCGTGGAGGAGTTGAAGGGTCCAGCACCAATCCCCTGTGGAAGGCTTTGTGGAAGGCTTGCGGTCTGCACAGCGAGCTGGGTCGGGGCAGCGGGCGGGGCCTGTTGAGCACCTGGAACGGCCAAAGCAAGGTGGGCTGCCGGGGCAGCTCCCAGGGTTTGTGTGGCAGGTGGAGCAGCAGCGGCGTGGGACGGGTCTGGGGCCTGCAAAGCAAGCTGGGCCGTTCGGGGGGCGGGTGTCGGGGCTTCCATCTTTGCCCGCAGCTTGGCTTTAACATCATGAGCATCTGCACGGTGTGCATCCGGCTTGGGATTTGCAGGCTGGGGTGCTGGCTGCGTAGCTCGTACGGCCTCTGCTTGGGCAGAAGAGGCTTGCTCGATGAGCAAGCACAGGTTGTGTTCGTGCTGGTCCCGCTCCTCCTGCAAGGCTACCTCCTGCTCGGCTTGGCGTTGCATCAGAATCTGCTCCTGCCTCTCCTGTTCTGCCTGCAGCGCCGCATCATGCTGCTTCCTGGCTTCTGCAAGGGCCTGCTGATGCTGAAGCAGCTCATGTTGCATTTGCTCTCGTAGCTTGTTCATCTGTTCATTCATGTACTTGTCCAAGGCAGCCTGTTCTTCTTTCATCCTCTTGCTAAGCGTGGCATCATGAGCATCATCCTGGGGTGGGCGCTTCCTGTTTTCCTCCTCCACAGCTTTTGCAAACTGCATGCTCGCACCGGGGAGGATCTGTGTCGTCTCGGATGTAGTGCTTCCACCGCAGCTCCCACTCGAAAATCCTTTGCTGCTTTAACACAAGCACCACAATGGACATGCCTACAATACCATGGAGCAAAACTTTATTGGGTCAGCCAGAAAACCGCGATGCAGCTGTCCCTTCGCGCGGAGATACTCTTCCTTGAGAGCTTTGGAATCGGGCGTGTCGCCCAAACTCTTCCACAGCTCAGCCGTCTCGGGCGAAAGACCCAAGAACCGATCGGGGTCATTGCTCTCACATGTCTCGTCCTCTTGGAATCATTCAATGTTTTGAAGCGGAAAGACACACACACACACACACTGTTTCTGAATCCCCAGCACACTGCCTTGACCTTCGTGGGTGTGGCCATAGGGTTCTGCTTCTCGAGGTAGCTCATCCCCCGGTACAGAGACTCGCAGGACATGTGATGCGACACCGTACCACAACGGAAAAAAAGCAGCCTAAGTTAAAGCAACCTCCTGTAGGACCTGAGAACCCCTGTTAACATGACTAACATGACTATTCGTACTGATACACACATATGGGTATGTCTTGAAACACACACAAACCCCATGCAGGTCCTTTGCTGCTCCCTCGAGCAAAGCAGCGGGATGAGGTCCAAGTCATAACAGTAAAGAGCTTAGAAAGGCCGGGTTTTGGGTTTTAAAATCCATATTGGGGCTTTGGCTTTACAGGTCTTAAGTGGGATCACATACATGTATGCATATTGTGTATATAGAACTCTCTCTCTCCATATATATATATA